AATATGCTAGAGCTTGTAAGACTGGGGCCATCACCACCACCTAGATCTCTCCGATTATCAGGCTCCTTCAGCTTTTCTATTATAATTGGACGAGGACTAGAGAATCTGACAGCCAACTTCTCTGGAGCTGCAGGAACATTCCTGTTGAACTGGAGCTGTTCCGAAGGCGAAACAAAAACACCAGGCAACGTGATGTAGTTTATCGCACAGATGATGTATATCCGACATGAAGTAACAAGGGCAAGTACAACTCCTTTCATGTTAGAATTTATTATATCATCACGGTACTTCTCCCATGTCACTTTTGTTCAAAAGCATCCCCCCTGCTCAGAACAGCAGCAAGATTTTAAATTTATTTGAAATCAAATGCATGTTTTAGCACCTAGATACTTTCAAAAAAAATCTCAGGAGGGACCAACCTGCACCTTTTGGTGTGTAAATGTTTTTAAAAAACTGGCGCAAAGAGGCTGGGAAGTGGATCATGTCTCTACTTAAAATGTTATTAAAACAAAATGATAATGATTCATTAAACTACGGAGATGAGGAGAAGGCTGCATGAAAATAAGCAGAAATGGAGGATTCAGAAGTGGGGCCAGGACCAAGCATTTAGGTGGCGTGTCAAAATGGGACGGACTAGCATTATTGGGCATTTACACGCATACCTTTCATCCCACAACACACCGGAGATCCGGCAGGTCGGAGCACACTCGATGAATCGAGTCTGCTCCGCACGTGACCCCATGCGCACTGCGCTGATTCGCACGCCGTCGTGCACGTGGCGAAACGCACGTCGCCAGGCACAAAACGGCGGCGGCAGCACCATGCCGTTGAACTCAAACACCTCCGACGTGTTTTCGTTCAAAAGCACGCCGCCTTTTGCTCACGTTGCCACTTATACAACCGTTTGCGCCGCGGTGCCGGGCTCTTTTAAAAGTGCCCAGAGCTGCGGCGCAAACATACGTACGCACGCCCTTTTGATCTGAAGATCGGGGCCCGTACGGAAGGAGTGAATACGACGTCATTAGACAATATGACGTCATGAGATGATACGACATCATTAGCCGCTGCCGCCAGGCCCCTCTGGACGAGGGCGACGATGGCCGCGTCGTGCCAGCCTCAGGAATACCTGCGTCTTCGCTCCGTCCTTGTCGGGTCGCGCGCAGGACGCGGCCGGTTGGCTTGGTCCCATCAGACGCTCGGGTCCCGGACGTCCGCGGTCATTTGCCCGAGCGGACGCCAGTTCTCATCTTTAAACACGCGTCATCTCTGTAATGGACAGGAAAGGAAGCGGCTTTGAGAAGGGGGCCCTTTTACCTGGCTGGCGGGGACTCCCCCTTTGGTTGAGACATGGAAAAGGATGCAGTTTCTCACTGA